TGATTTTTGATTTATTGTAGAGATGAGGTCTTGCTGCCTAGGCGGGTCTCGAACCCGCGGGCTCAGGCAATCCACTCACCTCAGCCTCCCAAAGGTGCGGGATTACAGGCTGAGCCACCGAGCCTGGCTTAGTTTTATTTTCTAACATGTGATAACGTGTGAAACTGTCACTGATATGCATAGCAGGTTCATTGATACATATGCAGTAGTAATTTGACATCTTCTACCTGGTGTTTTTCTATTTGAGCAGACAGTGCAGTCTCGTTTTCTTCCTCCCACGTTAATAATATGTAATTTATTGTCAGTCTGTTGTTCAAAGATAGTGTGGAAAGATGTACTCGTGATTCCTAAAAACCACTTCTCAACTGATAGCTCCAGCAGCTTGACAAATTTCAAATGGGACATGGTTTTTTTTTCTTTCTTTTCTTTCTTTTTTATGCTCAGTATAGTATATAGGAGTTAATAACGCATATTTCTAGTTCCCAGAAGAATACTTTCTTCTACCATTTTAAAGATTTTTACAAAAAACAATAAGTAGAAGCATATCAATCCACACAACTCATTTTTGCAATATAATTTAGAATCATTTCAAGCTTTTTGATAAAATATTTCCACCATGTAATGTTCATGTGGTAGATTTCATTCCTGCATGATTCCAGGTACTGAGAATTGTAGTGGTCCTTTTGTCCTTCTAAGCAAGAAGCTTAGATTATTTTTCTATACGCCACTGGTTTGTTTTTTTTTTTCCACTAAAAACTTTGACTTTTTGATTTGTGCTGGTATTCTCTTTCAGTTGACTTTGTACTAGTAAAATGACATTTCATCTTTATAGCTCTTCTGCTAGAATAATATTTGTGTAATATCTGTTAGTAAACATATGGTATCCTGCTGCATTGGGAAATTTTTTCAACAACTTTTTATATAAATGTAATAGAATTCTGGTGCTTACCGGAAGTGCACATTGAATGATGTTTTGGGATATTATGCTGCCATAGTTGGGAAGTTTTGAAAAAAGATGCCCTGTTTTTGAATCATCTAGCACATAAATGTGTATACCCCATTTGGTAGGTTTATTTGAATTATATGTTGTAAATGACATTCACCCTTTAAATTGAGCAACAAAAATTGCCTAATCTGGTATGCAATATTGTGAAAATTTTGAGTTAATGTATTCCAAATAATTGCTGACCGTTTGAATATGAGTTCTGATCATCCATCACTTGACTCAGATATTTTCAAATGTATCATCCAGAAGATTTGCATAAATTCTCTACTGACTTTTTTCAAAAAGAAAAGTATTTTATTATTGAAAGCAGTTGACCAGTACTCTTCCAAATTTGGTACTTGGATTATTCCCATATTTATGATAACTGCTATAAAAGCTAAAAATTCCTGTTAGTCAGTGTCATGCCACTCGTGCCAAATCGATTTATGTGATAGATGCTTTTTTCTTATTTTTTCATCTGCATAATGATTTGTTACTTTTATTACACTATCCAGTAATTTATTTGTAAAATACAGAATAAGATAGTCAATTGGTTCTTTTATATTACTAGCTGTTTGTGGTCCTGTTGTTTGAGAATGTCCAACAAAATTTATTCTCACTGGAAGACCATCTTTTTCTGTAACATCTTCCCATTCTTCACTTGATTATACATTGTCTTCTACGTCGAAACTGACACTTTCATCGCTATCACTTTCTGTTACATTTGCCCACTTTCTTCTTGGTGGGATGATAACACTATCACTGCTATCATTTTCTTCCACATCAATGTTTATTTTTTCTAACTTACCTGTATAAAATTCTAAATCTAACTCATCTTTGCTGCTGCTTTTAACTCATTTTTGTCTTTTCATTTTGCCATTGTTCTGTGAACTAAGTAGATAAAAAATTTCTAATTGTAAATTATGAAATCACAAAATGAAATTTATCAAAAGAATATTACTTTTCCAATTGTACTTTTTCCAGCTTAGTGCAGGTAGATATATTCGATCTGTGCCACTTGATACTTCAATATGATCTGCCTTCAACTTCAAAAGTCTCTTTGTTTTAAGGCCACAGTAAGTTGCCTATCTACATTTTCAAGTTATGCCATATAATACAGAGGGTAGACCCACAGCTGCCTTTCTTATGCAAATGGTCTTTGTCCTTACCTTCTGTCACAAAGAAGTGTTGCCACCACTGTGAAAACACTTCACACATTCTTTCTATATGATGCCAGCAGATTTTTTTTACTCATCTCAGTATATATTCCATCTCTACTTTTTCGTGCAGTTTGAATGGAAAAGTTAAAGGAAACACACATTTTTGAAAAATTTGTGCTTGCATAAGTTTGTCCTGTATAATCACCAGCAATCTCTTTATGTTCCCTGAGAGGGGACATCAGAGTGGTTTGCTAGATTTGCGACGTCCTCTCAGAGGGGACATCTGAGTACAAAGGGCTACATTTTATTTGGAGTAATCAGTGTTGCTATACCTGCTTTTATTATATATACATCATACATATATCTTCTTAAAATTCTGTAGGTAGTATTGTTTAGTATATTACTGTAGTGGATTGCTTTTCTTTTTCTTCCTTAGTGCTCATTTTGGAGATCCAAATTAACTGGACTCAGCTGGCTTTCTCTTTAATTGCAGTAAGAGCACTTCTGAGTGATTTTCCTCTTTGGTAAAAAGCAGTTTTCAGGACTTCGCTGGGTAGTTATTAATGCTTTAAGAGGAAATTATTTTCTATTTAAAAGGAATAATTACTTCGTCTAAAATCCTACATACCCTTTAAACAGCTTAAATAATGTCACTTGTTGAGAGTTTTTATTGTTGGTGTTGTGGTGACCAGTCCTCTTATTTATATTGGATTCTTCAGAGTCTACCTATATTGCACAGATAGACCTAACAGATAACGTTTGTGAGACTCATGTGCCATATTTTTTGTTTGGTTTTGGATTTTTTTTGCTTTTGTTTTTGAGTCAGGGGTCTCACTCTGCTAGCCGGGGTGGAGTGCAGTGGCACAATCATGGCTCACCACAACCTTGACCTCCTGGGCTCAGGTGATCCTTATGCCTCAGTCTCCTGAGTAGCTGGGACTACAGGCATGCACCAACCACCACACCCAGCTAATTTTTAAAAAAATTTTTTGTGGAGACGAAGTCTTGCTATGTTACCCAGTCTGGTCTCGGACGCCTGGGCTCAAGTGATCTCCTACCTTGGCCTCCCTAAGTGCTGGATTACGGATGTGAGCCACCAGGCCTGGCTAGGTGCCATATTTTTTTTGTAGGTGAAATACTTCTGAGAATTTGGTTATTTAAAATAGGAGAAATATGTATGATTATCCATCACTGATTTATTTCTTACTGCTTAGAATATCATTTCTTGAGTGAGTTTTGAAAGGATAGGAGTTTGAAAAATAGAGTATACCTCAGAATAGGTTTTAACAGAGCCACAAGTCATATCATACATGAGTGGTGGAACAGTATTTAAAGCTGTGATGTAACTTACTGGTAAATTTTAGTAACAACACATATCAATTGAAGTCTTCCTTAGCTATTATTCTTGTTGGCTAGATATTAAACTTTGTTCTTTTTAGCTACTGAAGGTGCTTATATGCGGTCACAAGGGGAAAAAATGTTTATAGTCTTCTAAAATATTTTAAATTTTAATATATTGGCAAAGCTCCTAGTACGCACTCAGGTTACTGCTCTCGGCATATGTACTAACTTATGGATTAAGTAGAAAACTTTAATTCTCACTTTTTTTGTAGATGTGGTGGTACAGTGGGAGCTATTCTGACATGTCCACTGGAAGTTGTAAAAACGCGACTGCAGTCATCTTCTGTGACACTTTATATATCTGAAGTTCAGCTGAACACCATGGCAGGAGCCAGTGTCAACCGGGTAGTGTCTCCTGGACCTCTCCATTGCCTAAAGTGAGAGCACAATATTCATGAATTCTTTTCTAGTTTGTTTACCTTAGTGATTGCTCCATATTTTATTTATTCATATGCTGCCACATTTGAAAAGGTTCTTTACGAACTTAATGACAGAAGTTACTCTGAATTACATTCATAAGGAATGATAGTCCCGAATAGAGAAGAACAGCTAGGTGGGCAATATAAAATGTAATATTATTTCCAAATCATGTGTATTTAGGATATTTTTCTACATTTATCCAATGGAATTTTTAAAAAGCTATTATAAGTATTTTAAAATGCTGTTTGCGGTTTGTTTGACATTTCTTGATGATTTGAATGAAGAAGATTTGTTTTTACATTCTCTGCTACTTAATTTTGTTGCAATTGGATTTGAAATTTCTTTTTGAGTCAGGATCTCACTCTGTCGCTCATGCTGGACTACAGTGGCACAATCACTGCTCACCACAATCTCTACCCCCGGGCTCAGACAATCCTGCCTTAGCCTCCCTAATAGCTAGGACTGCAGGCACATGCCATCAAATAGTTTTAATAGAGATGTGGTCTTACTGTGTTTCTCAGGCTGATCTCGAACTCCTGGGCTCAAGCAATCCCCTCGCCTCAGCCTCCCAAAGTGCTGGGATTACAGGCATGAGCCACTGCACCTGGCAGATTAGAAATTTCAAAACTATTAACATCAAGTTTTACGTGTTTATACTTGTGTAAATAACTGAATGCTTGTATGTCTGTCTTATCAGCTCACTTGGGACTTAATCTGTTTGAACTTAGTTCAGTAATGTTTATTTTGTAGTAACAAATAAACTCATCCTGTGAGCTTACCTTTGTTACTAAAAGGTTTCATCAGTCTTTTTTTCATACTTAATTACCTAAGTACGTGAGTAGGTAGAATAAGATTGTTAACAGTTTTGGGTTAAAATGCCATAGTTACAAATACTTACAAATGATTAATGATGGCGAAAGTATTTTAATATCATGATTTTGATATGTATTACTACTCATTACCTCTCCTTAAAATTCTTCTTTCAACCTCTGATATATTTTTACTCTTTCCCAGTGATTTTTTTTCCCTTCTCTTCTTTACAGGAACTTTAGTAATCCTTCTGGTCTCTGTATAAGATAGTAAAATTAAGGAAATTGAAGATGAGTAGCATGATGACATGAAAATAAGTGTAGAAATCTTTATTGTTGCTTTAATCTTTTAGGGAATACTGTGAGTAGGGTTTTTTTTATTATTATAGTAAATCTATTTTCAGTCTTGAATAATTTATGCTATGTCATATAAAAACAAATTTTTATAAGTGATGAAAATTCACCAGAGAAACAAACATTGTAGTATAAACATACAGAATTTAGACTCTAACTTTGTTAAACAAGGTAAATAAAGTACCATAGTTTGAAGGACATTTTTTCCTGATAAAATTGTTTTCTCTTTCAGGGTGATCTTGGAAAAAGAAGGGCCTCGTTCCTTATTTAGAGGATTAGGCCCTAATTTAGTAGGGGTAGCCCCTTCAAGGTAAGAAAAAAAAATTAAGCAAAATATGGCAATCTCTTTTTAACACATCTGGATTTAATAATTTGAAGATATTGTTAAATATTTAAGTGCAGTTTTGTTTATGAAAAGTTAATGTTTTTCATTTTGTGTTGTTTTGAGTCAGAGTCTCTATCGCCCAGGCTAGAGTGCAGTAACATGATCACTGCCACTGCAGCCTCAACCTCTTGGGTTCAAGCAATTCTCCCACCTCAGCCTCCCGATTAGCAGAAACTATAGACATGTGCCACCACACCTAGCTAATTTTTTGATTTATTGTGGAGACGAGGTCTTGCCAAGTTGCCCAGGCTGATCTCAGATGCCTGGGCTCAGGCATTCCTCTGACTTCTGCCTCCCAAAGTAAGAATTCTTTTTTTAAGAATTCTGATGCTAGCTGAACAAATTTACATATTAATGTAATGTTTAGTGGTAGAAAGTGATACTGGGTATTTTGAAGACTAACAATATTTTAGTACTGTTAGAAAATAGTAGTAGTAATACAAATACAAATACATAAGGAAGAAGGTAGAGTATTTGTGTTAAATTATTGATAGTCTTGTACTGAGGGAACATAAAGAAACATGGCATATTATAGCTAGAAATTTAAGGAACACTTTATAGATAAGAGTGTTAAATCTAAAAATGGATGGATGGACTAGAGATTTTTTGAGGGGTACTATATTCACAGTTTAAAATAGTGAAAATGACACTTATCTTTATATTTCATAAACTAGCAGATATCAGATTAGTAATATTTACAAAATAATCTGGAAATACCTGTGTAGCTAATGGCTGTGTATTGGGTCCTCCTGAGGAAATGCTTATACTCTTTTCTGACCTTCAGAGTTAGAAAAATTTGATCAGGGTGGCTGTGGGGGAGGGGATTGAAAATCTATACTGGGCTACTAAGCCTATAAACTACTTCTGATATTTTGAGGTAGAAGTTTGGTAGTTTTGTTAAATTTCAACCGGGTCTTGCATCTTGGAAAATTTTGTCTCTAAGGAAAATAAGAATTCTTTTAAACAAATGTTTCCTTGGGCCAAAAGACATAATATTTGGGATCTGTCTCTCAAACTTGTCTGCTTCTGATAGGTGTCATGTTCTTTTCTGCACCTAAAGTTAGTACTCTCATCTGACTTTCCACATAGAAAGTAAACTTTAAAGAAACTAGATGGAAAAGTAAAACCACAGAGCTTGGAAAGGTGTCAGTGTTTAGAACAGGGTTGAAGAAAGGAACAAGAAGTCTAAAATGATGAGAATTTGTATAGCACTGGAGGACAGTAAAAGATGCACACAGTAGTTACATTAGTAAAGGAAGCCTAATCAAGAGAGATGCTGAAGAGAAGTCAGGTTGATAAGGATAAGGAACTGTGGGGTAACAGACTATCATTAACCATCTAAAAGATACCATTGCAGATGGTACCACCTGGAGGTGCAGAGAACCTCTTAGTGAGATGATTGTGAAGCAAGTTTTGCATCAATACAAAAGACAAATATAAAGGAACTAATAACTAAAGGAACAGTTAAGGGACTAGCAGTAAGAAAGGGGAAGACCTCGAACTCTTAAAATTAAGTCATTTTTTGGCTTTGGGGACAAGCCAAATAGAGTGGTTTCATTCCCTATCAAAGAAGCCAAAAGAGCCTGAAAATGCTACTTTCTCATTTTTCTCTGATGCCATTTTATCTAAGATTGTTGATCTACTCCTTGATAGAACACTGTACAAAGTTCATATTTAGAATGAAAATGTATAGCCAGCTTTCTGTATCGAAACCATATAAGCGATCCTCCTGCCTCAGCCTCCCGAGTCATGGGACTACAGGTGCATGCCACCATGCCTGGCTAGTTTTTCTGTTTTTTGTAGACATGGGGTCTTGCTATTTTGCCCAGGCTGGTCTTGAACTCCTGGGCTCAAGCAGTTCTCCCACCTCAGCCTCTCAAAGTGGTGGGATTATAGGCATGAGTTACTACTCCCAGCCTCATCAAAATCTTACACAAATGCTTTTTGTTTCAGTTAATTGTTAAGTGTCAGAGTACTGGGTGAGAGTTAGTCTGTTTGAAGATGAACGCTAGGAACTTTACTTTTGAGTTTGTCTTTTTTTTAATGAGTCAATTAAAAATGGACTTCAGGGTATTCATGGAAAAAATATGTAAGTTATTCTGATGTTACATGAGGATGTGACTAAGACTTTTCTCTTAGAATGTTTTAGACTTCTCCATTTTAAAATTATGAAGATCAATTTACGTTTCTATTTTATTGGACATGCTTATTGATGCATTTTTATCTTTATTTTAGAGCAATATACTTTGCTGCTTATTCAAACTGCAAGGAAAAGTTGAATGGTGTATTTGATCCTGATTCTACCCAGGTACACATGATTTCAGCTGCAATGGCAGGTATGAATGTATAATGTTAAAAAATAAAAAATTTTCTGAAACCTAGAAATTTAATATTGAGTTATGATAAATTTATAGTGAAAAGTTGAGATAATTAATGTGCTTTTCATTGATAAGATGATTTTTGCATTTATTGCTATAAAAAACTTGATGACGTATGTGTAAAATTGTTGCCAGTTGACAGTTCCATAGTTAGGAATTTAAATGATAGGAAACAGGCAACACAGTATTTGTATTGCCTTGTGTAGTCCACTTGGACACTTAGTGATCACTTAAGTTTTAAGAATTCAGTCATAATTACTTATAAATAAATTATGGAGCTGTAATTTACTCTTCTCTCCTCAATTTCTGTTAGTGCCTTTCCCCTTTTTGCTGCATGTTTTGGCTTCTGTCTGAAATGTGTCGGCAATTCTTGGTAAAGTATTCATTTTGTCCTGTGCTCAAATGCTGAAATTTTTGTGAGTGATATATTATTAATAACTGAGACAGTTACTATATTGTTTGTATTTTTTAAAATGTTTATCATTCTGTGTAAATCACACTAGATAGCACCTGAATTTTAGACACTGGCTATGTATACGTGCTTACTATAAAAATGTTTCCAGGAACTGTTTTTGTCATCATCGATAAGCATGTTTAATTTTGAATTTTAAAAAATAGTCCCAGGTCTCTGTTTCCTTAAAGATAAACTGTGGGCAATTGATTTGATCAATCTGGTTCTGGAATCATTTGCTATTATGCATGTTAGACAAAGCCATGAAGCTTGGTTCTCAATAGAAAGTTTTCTCTAAGTTCTGAGATTTATTGCATATTTTCCCATATCTTACATTTTCAGATTATGCTGTGACTTTATAAAGCTAACTGTAGCTGCTTTCATCAGCTATTGATTAATAAATTGAGAGTCAATTATGTACTTAGTATGAGCATTTTCAACTGTTAATGATTTTCTGTTTAGAAATAAATTGGATCGATTTTGTCTATATTCTTAATGAACTAAGTAAGTTTGAAGTACAACTTTATGGAAGGTCGGTAGCCCTTACCATATAATACATACAGCGTATACCTTACATTTGTTTTTAAGGCTGTATATATTTAGTAGTTGTTGACCAACTCATTTAAGCTTTAAAGCTGAAAGGGACAACCTTAAAGGTCAATGTAGGGAAATATTCTGATTAACCAGTAAGGACATCTTGAACAAGTCAAGTGATTTATGTGAACCTCCATAACCCTATCATTGAAATGCGTAGGTTGGTCCACATCAGTCTGGAATTTGAGAGTTAGTGCTGTCATTTACTATCATAGAGATTATCTAGTTACAACTAGAATTATTTTTTAATGTAATTTTTTCAGATGTTGAATATGAGTAGGTATGATTTTCTCCTAGCAAATTTAAGTAGGTATAAGGTAAAAGTTGGTAGCCAGTGGCAAACTTTATAACTACTCTATGAGGCTCTTAAGAATATATTTCTGAATTGCTAGTGTTTAATTTTGGCTTTTAACCTCAAAAATTAAAAAGAAATGTTAGTCTTTTTTGAAAGAATTGAAATTTTAAAAGTAGATAAGCAATCATTTAAGTTGAGGATATTTGTTATACATGTATTGCAAACTTAGAGGTTCAGAATATTTTAATTTCCACTGAAACACCTTACTCATTAGTATCTCATCAGAATTTTTTTACTATTTTGTGTCACATTGCAAAGAATTTTAGTAGAATTGTCAGTGTGTACTTTTTTCTCAAATATGTCTAAATGTTAGCTTGTAGTTTGTTTTTACCTATATATTGATACTATTTCTGAACTTGAATTCCGGTAAATTGATAGTCTTACACTTGTTCAGAGATCATATGCTTATTGTGTAATTTGAAAATTCTTCTTCCATTTGTTTTCAGTTACATTGTTCTGAGAAATGTGCTTTCAGAGCGTACTTGCACTATTCATGCGCTTCAATATTTAGCTTTGCAGTTTTTATACATAATTATATGGTTGATGAAACTGAACGGTTCAATACAGACTCATTAAGGTAGCCTTTTTCCCCTTTCATTCTTGAAATAATCTAGACCAGATTGCTCTGGTTTTTTCAGGATCATTTTTATAGGTCTAAATATGAATAATTTGGGAGTACAGAGAGATAGTCATGTGAAAAATTATGTTTAACTGGCTATTCAAGGAAAAAAATGCTAACCTTGTCACTTCAGTATCCAAAATAGACCATTAACAATATTGCCTGCAAGATTTTGCCACACCAAATAGTACACACATTAAGGATGATGTAACTTTTATTACAACTGACCGCTCAAACTCATTTTGCACTTTATCCATATGAACTCAGGTGTTTTAACTTATATACTAAAACTTTATTTTTAAAAAAAGCAATTTAAAATAGGCCTTCCTTTTATTTGCTGTGGTGTTACAAATGAATCCTATAGGAATTTGTAAACCTCTAAAATTGGCTATAATTTTCATGCGTTGAGCATATTTTTCTCTCTGAATCTCTTGTCTGCATAAAACAAAAATAAACCTTTTTTTCAACTGTGAGGATATTTAATCAAAATAAGTAATGTTGACTCTTGTAATGTTTTACCTGCCTTTTTTTTCTCCTACATATGACATTTGTCAGACTAATCCTTTCTTAGTTATTGAGGATAGTTTTGTGCCTGTGTGTTTTGTTTAAATGAACTTGAATACTCCTCTGTATATACCTGGGCACACATGTATACAAAAAAAATTAAGTTTATAGTAATTCCAAAGTTTTAAAAGTTGTTTTTGTGTATGTGTTTGTTTGTTTTTTAGTCAGAATCTCACTCTGTCTTTCACACAGGCTGGAGCACAGTGGCACAATCATGGCACACTGCAGCCTCAACCTTGTGGGCTCAAACCATCCTCCCACCTCAGCTTCCCAAGTAGCTCGAACTGCAGGCACACACTACCACGCCCAGCTAATGTTCTGATTTGTTTGTAAAGATAAGGTCTCTATGTTGCCCAGGCTGGTCTCAAACTCTTGGCCTCAAGGGATCTTCCCACCTTAACCTCCCAAAGTGCTGGAATTGTCAGGTGTTAGCCACTGCACCCAGCCCCATGTTTTTAAATTTTTATGTGGCATGTATATACTTTTATATGCAACATTATACATGTAAAGGAAATGAATTCTGATTTTAATTGAATTATATATGCATACAGTTGCTTAATTTTTAAAATACCAGTAAGGTAATCTCTGAATCTTTTCTACATACCTAGTAAGTTTTATTTGTTTACAGAATACACTGTTATTTTTTAAGGTGTTTTTCTATTTGACATAGAGTTCATTGTTAAAGGTTAAATTTTTACTCATTAGATGCAAACCTTGTCTTGCACTTATAAAATAAGATTTTACAATTTTATTTTTCCATGGCAGTTCATTCAGCCAGATGAATGGTTGGACAGATGTTTTGTGTGTTTGTATATAAACATTCTTCCTGTTTTTTGTTTTGTAGAACACAAGAAATTAAATACAAATAATCCAAAATATTTCATAAGTATGGATGTGCAATATTACTGGCCATAGTGCAAAGGGTGAAAGGTACTACTATAGCAACATATCCTTTATTTTATTTAAAAAAAAAAATATATATATATATATATTTATATATAGTTCCAAATTGAAGTTACTTGAATATTCTGTTGGGGTTTGTTTCTTTTTTTAAAAAGCTATATTAAGTAGGCTGATTGTTAAAGAATAGGAAATTGTGTTTTCAACTCAGATCATGGTAGATAATGATGGTAGGAAAATAGGAGATAATAACCTCCTAAATATTCCCTTTTGACAAGGTTAGCATTTTTTCTTTAATACAAAATCAGTCTTCTTTAGGTAAGTATTTGGACTCTGAAACTGCTACAGATGGCGGAATTTTCAGTACTCGGTACATTAAAAAAATGGCCCGTTTTGATATTCCTTTTTTTTTTTTTTAACTTAAAATTTTCAAGAAAGTTAGATCTCACAGTAATATTTCTCAAATCCTTCCAATGGGATTCAATTTGTACACGTGTTTCTGATGAGGTCACTGCTTGTTGTTATGATACAGAAAAGCCTGTGTCTATTTTAGGCATTTACTGTACATTTCTCCCGAGAAAAGAGTGAGATCGTGTCATCTCATGCTCCCCATCCGCAGGTCACTTCCTGTAGAAATATGGACTAACTAAAACCTCGTGAGTACTGATCTGAGCATCTCTTGCAGCCTCTAGTATAAGAAACACACCCTGGGATTTTATAATAGCTGTGGAATGAATAGAAGGCGGGAAATGAACATTTATTTCCTGAATTTGTGTATGCTTTGAGTATTTTATAAAAGTTTAATTCTGATCCCTTTGTAATATCCCTTCTAGAAGGAAGAATGGGGTGCTTGTCAGTCATCATGTAATAAAAGCTTGGGGTCTTTAGTTTGGCCATAACAGCCTTGACCTCCAAAGAATTTGATAACAGTATATATACATAGTTATAAATGATATAATGCCATCTTACAAGTTTTATATAAAATGGAATTTCTCTTTGCTTAGCATAACATACTTAAAAATCTTAATACAGTGCTTTCCATTCTCTAGTCTGTTGATTCTTGGCTTTCTACTCTTTCGCTAAAAAAAAATTGAGCTTAACATTATTACTTTCCAAATAAATGCAAGATAAGAAAATATGGGATCTTAGCTGTTTTAGTTTTAATTACTTTTTTAAATAGTTTTAATACGTTTCTCCTAGGCTAGGTGGACTTTGTTCTACAGAAGTTCATTGAAATTAAAAGTACTAAAAGTGCAGTACTACAGGTATCACTCACTTAATGAAATAAACATTTTCAGCAAGTTTACTGTAAGCAGAATTTTTCTGTTAATCTAGTTTTTAATCAGTTTATACTATCAAATGGAGTCTTAAATGAAGCAAAACTTTTAAAATTGCATTCAAAAAAATTTTTTAAGCTTTCTAATAAAATACTAACAACACAACTAATAATATGACCAGTATATTGGCACTTTGCTTTAACTGCCTGTGGAATAATATTAGTTCTTCTTAGCCTATAAATGGATCTTTCATGTACTCTAAGTTTGTTTTAATATTTAACTGGTACTTAGAATATTAATATAAATTGGCATATTATCAAATGTTCAAAAATTAGAATGCAAAGTAAAAAGTAATAGGCAGTTTCTAAATTTCCGGAGCACCATTCTCAATATTTTGTGTATTTATCTTAAAAGTAGTAGGAAGATATGTTTAACTTTGGCTAATCTCAAATTCTAAGTTAATGATAAATTTTTGTTTCTTTCCATTCATTTCTTGGATTAATAGATGATGTGTTTTACATTTAATTAACCTAACAATGTCTAGTTAGTTACTAAAATGTCTTTGGTCAAAATAAACAGCATAAAACTCAAGGACCTGAGTTTTAAGTGGTAAAGGTATGTCAATAGCTAAAAACCTATGGATTATGCCTAGATTCTTTGTCTAACAGAATGGTGTTCTGGCATTTAGGCTAGTATCTTTATAAGCACTAGCTCTCGTTATTACAACTGAATAAGAACAGTTGTAGTAAAGATAGCATATTGATAATAGCAGTTATATAGGGATATGATAACATTCTCTCACCTGTTACATAGGTTAATTTGTGCTTGGAAATGAATTGTAGTTAAGTGAGAAATACCTGTTGTTTGCTTTCTGACGTTGTTTATTAATATGTAGAGAATAATTTAAAGTTATAGTTTATGGGTCTTTAAAAAGTTATTCCTAGCAACATTTATAAATATTTATTGTAATATTTTGAAGTTTTATATATGTGGAATTTTTTCCAGTTTCAAATTGAAGAATTTTGTGACTTGGAAGAGTATTATGGGCAGAAGCATGGATACTAAGTTTATATTTTTAGAAGTAGAACTTTTATTTTTAAAAATTTTTGGTGCTTTTCAAATATAGTGTAATAAATTGACTGAGAATTTTTCCTAGATCAGCTGTTTTTTAAAAAAATTTGATATAAGAATTCCCAGTTTTAGACTTTCAAAATTTAATTAAAAGCAAATTGTTTTTAAGATTTCTACAAAATGATTAATAAAAGTCAATGTAATGCAGAATATTTTGTTGGTTTATGCTGCATTATAATAAACCCTTTTCACTAATAAACCCTTAATCTTCTCGTACAGACATATAGCTAATACATATATTTAAGTTTAAAAAATAAGAATTATTAAATTGGGATTTGTCCAGTATATTGATATCTGATTGCTTTAGAACACAATTTAAGTATCTTTAGTTTAACTTTTTCACTTAGAAAGATGAGTTTCAAGAGTAGAAAAAAATACTATTCTATAGCTTTGTTCTTAGTTAAGTTAGGCCATGCAAGAAAAATATTTAAGCTGGTCCAGTTGTTTTTATTTTACCAAGAATATATGCATGAAAAGAATCTCTTATTTAAAAAGATGTTCCTGGCAACTTGCTTAACACTTGAAATTTGTATTATTTTATAACTGCTAATGCTTCCAAAATGAGTCCTATTCTAGTTTTATACTTTATGCATGGAATATTAAAAGCATTTAAGAGAAATGGGGACTATATAATCTTTACTTTTTAATTATTTATTTATTTATTTTTATTTTATTTTTTTACTTTTTATAGAGACAGGGTCTCGCTGTGTTGCCCAGGCTGGTCTTGAACTCCTGGCCTTAAGTGATCCTCCCATCTTAGCCTCCCAAAATGCTGAAATGACACGCATGAGCCACCACGACTGGCCTTAGAAAATTATTAAAGGAGTTCTTAAACTAAATTTGTGTTCCATTTATGTTGATCATTAAATAGATTTAACTGGAACATGCATTTGTGTAACATCTGGCTATTTCTTAAAATGATGGGTTAAAGAAGTAAAATTTGAGTTAGCTAAATTCCCATCACAGAAGGGAAAAGAACCTTGTGAGACCATATTCATTCAGCTTTAGAAACAATTTAGTAAAACTATTTTGCATATATCGATATACCCATAATAACTTTGCAAGCCAAGAAAGGTTTATGATTGGTTCTGCTGTATATTAATTTAAAGGCAAATTGTTCTTGAGTACATTGCAACATTTCTGTTCCTGAAAGTTCTTTACTTATATCAAATGTACTAATCACAATCCACGTGCTTGACAAGCTAGTATTTGATAGGAAATATTAAAACAGTTAAGATCCTTAGACGTTTCTGCATGTAAGTTTTCACTGAATTTAAAGACCAATTGAATAATTGTAGTTCGTTATAAATAGTTTCATAAAGTTTGTGTAACTTGTCTTATTAAATTTAAAAATAATATATTAAAATCCTATCTTCTTTAGATGAAGCAATCTTTATAAGTTTCCATTATCAAGATTCTGTTTTGTGTGCTATTTTTCCATATATAGGAAGATGGCAAGTAAAAGATATACACTAGCCTAGAAACATACTGTTCCAGGTAGATCTTAATTTACTACCTGAAATGAGCCATCTTAAGTGATCACCCTTCTGCACCAATAGTTAGTACATAGTAAACTAGCTGCCTTCTACTTGAATTTCGTTCTTCGTGTCTATAAAAGTGAGAGGGAAGTTCCAATTTGTAACTTTTCGAACCTTTGAGTTTTTATATGTTTAAGTAGATAAAAAATAGATCTGTCCTATTAACCCTAACAGAAACCTTACCTCTGTGATTCCATTATTTTATTTTATTTATCTTTTTGCTTATTTATTTAATTATTTAATTTATTTATTTTTTGAGTCAGAGTCTCACTCTATCTCCCAGGCTGGAATACAGTGGCAAAATCACAGCTCACCACAGCCTTGACCCCCTGGACTCAGGCGATCCTTCCTACTTAGCCACCTGAGTAGCTGGGACTACAGGCATGCACTACCTCGCCTGGCTAATTTTTTTTATTTTTATTTTTTGTAGAGACAAGTTCTCTCTATGTTGCCCAGGCTGTTCTCAAACTCCTGGGCTCAAGAGATTCTTTCACTTCGGCCTCCCAAAGTGCTGGGATTACAAGTCTGAGCCTTCACTCCCAGCCCAATGATTCCATTATTATAACAGTATTAGTAAGTATGTTTCTAGAAAGTATTCCTGGGGTCAAGCAACAGTCCTTTCTACTATATAGTCAACTAAAGATGAAAATATTAGTAAGTGCTGGTATTTAATGTACAATCCACTTAGAATGTAGTGCTTTGTGACAGATCCCAAGTAGCTGTTTCTTAGCTGTTTTGGGGACTCTGTGTGCTTTTTAGTCATAAAATACACACATTTTCCATGTCTATAGAAAATGGGTTTCTGATTCAGCTTAGAGAGTCGAGAGCCCCCAAGAGGATATTCTGAATAGGTTGAGAGAGCAATTTATATACAATCAGATTTTGCTCTTAAAATAATTTTTTAGTTAAGTTCAGAATTTGAGAATTTATGTAGATTGGAAGTGAAGACAAATGTTCATTGAAGACAAGTGTCGTATGAATTTGTAAATGAAAGTGTAAAGCATACATATTAATAGTTTAAGTGCTTATATGTATTTTCTTTAATATAGATTCATAAAATTTGAAAAACAAAGTTAATATGTATTCATTTTTACCAGAGTTCATTTTAAACATGTTTGTTTAGGTTTTACCGCAATCACAGCAACCAACCCCATTTGGCTTATAAAGACTCGGTTACAGCTTGATGCAAGGTATGTTAATTCCTTAAAGGTGGGTTTAACTAAGATTTTTTTCCCATAACTTTATATCATCAGTAAGATTTTGGTTCCAGATATCTAACCCTGTTTTTTCATTCTTACCTATGGCTGCTGAATTTCTGTTTTGTTTCGTTATGAAACTTGGGTTTGCCATGAGAAGCAAAAGTGATATAATAGTTGACAATTTGAGACTTCCAGCTGAAAAAAGCATATTATGTGTTGTGCTTTCTTTCTTTTCTTTTTTTTTAAGAAAAGGGATAGATTTCATAGAGGAAAAAGAAAAAGGATATATTAATCTAATCCATGGGTACTTATAATTGTCCATCCCCCCCACCCCCAGCTAAAAAAGCCACACGGTCAGCTAATCTAGACTGAATCTTAGAAGATCATTGCTCACATTTAGTGGGCTTATGTATAGAGAATCCTGGGCTCAGAACTCATTTTCATATATGCATAGACTTCATCTGCTACTATGGCTGCTTTACAATAGCAAAAGTCTCTAATTCAATAAATCTATATTGAGCAGATACTGTTCTAGAGATATACCAGGAACAGTGAAACAATTGTAAATGGGATAATCAAGGAATTTTTTTTTAAGTCTATTTTAAGCAGAGGAAACAGTCCTTGCAAACCTCAAAGGTCCTCAAGTATAGGGCCTTTAGTGTTCTGGAAACTGAGATGATCGTATCTGGTATGTTATAACAATAATGTTGGTAGTTTTGAACTATTTTAGACTTTGGAGGAGGTGCTGTGAATAACATATTTCCACAGTTTTTATATTTTGGGGGTTTGGGAAATAGTGTTATGTCCTATAGGCTACAAGTAAAAATGATCTAACAAGTCATTAACAATTAATTATGCCTTCTTAAAGATCTGTTTTCCACGTTCTGTCATGTTGAACTATATGCTATTTGGAAACTTGAAAATAAATGTCTAATTGTTTCATCTAGAATGTCCTTTTAATGAAATCTTAAGTGTTGTAGCAAAACTGAAAGTTTATTTATTAAGTCAAATATCTAAAAATATCTGAAAAATGTAGCTAAGACTTAACCCAAGGTTAAGAATTGAGAGATAACCAGTCCACATTATGTGTTACAGAGTAGCTCTACAGAATTCAGGAAAAGCATGGCTTAAAACTCTTGAATATTACTTTTTTTTTTTCCTACTTAAAATTGTAACACAAGCTAGCACAATTCTTAGGCATGCAGAGGTGGGGAATGGGATTAGAATGAGATAAAAGTGAAAGGTTGACTTGAGGATTATAATTTATAATGCTGAGATCAAGAATAGGACTGCTATGTCTCTATGTCACCTTTTTGGAATTGTATCTCTTTCTTGTGAGGAAGGATCACTAGTGGCAGAAACTAGTCATAATTGGTTACCTGGATCTCTCTTCTAAGTAATCAAGATCTAAAGACAATGAATAGTTCACAAAACTGGTGGAATTTGTAGATGACTAAGTGGGTGTTTTATTTGTGGTTTTATTTTATGTCAGAAATGGGTTAGATGTAATTTATAAATTGGTAAATTTTTTTTTCTGTAGATAGCATTTAAACCCATCTCTTATAGATAAGGTTCAGTTGGGGATATCAGAGTGTAAGGTAATAAAATTGTTAAAACTCAAAATTATATGCCTGTGTACTCAGTAAGAGTAAATGCTGCACCTTAAGTGGCTGTAAGGAAATTGTCTTAGACACGGTACTGAATAAATACTTAATAACTGTACAGGTTTTCCTTCAGTGTTCACTGGGGATACTGATATGGTCATTGCCTTTAAATGATCATAAGGAATTTGAGTTAAATGCACCTAGTCACTTTTTGGGAAGCATCTGGAGGGGACTGAAAGAGAACCCCTCAGGTACACAGAAGTTTAATTAATCATACTCCTTGCTTTATGATATACTATCATCTGTCGTCAGTGTTTCAGTCATTGTTTTTGTGTTGTTATCCAATGGAAATTCAGCTTTCTTAGAACAGGAATTAATACAGTATGAGGGCTTTTGTTTACTTTGTTTTGTTTTTATCTTGAGCTGCAGTCAGGATTTCATTGCTTATTCCTACAGCATGAACCCTAACAAGAACGTGAAATTGAAGAGTTAATGTAGTTTATTTTGCACTTGGTAATATTAACTATTTACATATTATCTATTTAATATGCCGACTTGGGGACAAAAGAATAGGAAATCTAAAGTAAGAATGTTTTAAAGTTCTGATTTTACTCAATGAGTTCTTTATTAGAGTGACTTTTTTTGCTGTATTTCATTTTATTTAAAAACCTATACTACTTTATGTCAATAAGATTTTTCTTTTTGTTTTTCAGGAACCGTGGGGAAAGGCGAATGGGCGCTTTTGAATGTGTTCGTAAAGTGTATCAGACAGATGGACTTAAAGGATTTTATAGGGGCATGTCTGCTTCATATGCTGGCATATCAGAGACTGTTATCCATTTTGTTATTTATGAAAGTATAAAGCAAAAATTACTGGAATATAAGACTACTTCTATGATGGAAAATGATGAAGAATCTGTGAAAGAAGCATCAGATTTTGTGGGAATGATGCTCGCTGCTGCCACCTCAAAAACTTGTGCCACAACCATAGCATATCCACATGGTAAGAAGAATTATATTAAATCAGAAATGTTTTCCTATCCCCACCAACAGCCCACTTAGAGCATTTATCACTTGACAACTTTGATTTCTGTTACATTTAAGGTTTCGTTTTGCTTGAGAGTTCATAACGGGATTAAGTCTGGTAAAGTAACATAAGGCTGTATGAGTAGATCATTGTAGGTGTGCTGACACATGGTGTGGTGGATGATTGACCATAAGCTCTGAAGTCAGATAGTCAGATTCCAGCCATAATGCCCCAGCTAGGTGACCTCTGGGCAAGTTCTAATTTTTGGAAAAAGTATGTTTACAGTTACTATAGTAGAAACTTTACATACATTATTGTAACCTATGTAAAAATTATCTAAAGTACTTACCTTCCCTGATGTGCTAGAATATAACTAGAATTGTCCTCACTTTCGGTCAAGATTGGGCATGTTCAAGGTGGTATGTCCATAGACTCTCCTTATTTTCAAATGAGACACTGAGAAGAAATGAAAAAATTAAGTGACTTGCCCTAAGTCACAAAAGCTACTCAGTGGTAAAGTCTAAATTTGAATTAAAGCCTGTAATCCCAAAGACCAAGCTATTTATGTTATTTTGTGTTAGCTAAAAGTGTGTTCTTTTATGTCTGTTTTTAAATTTTACAATATTAGCCTGTTTCATTAATAGCTAGAGAAATCACTTTAAGAATTTGCCTGCCACATGCTGGATTTTTTGGTAGCTTTTTGGGGTATTTTATTAGTGTGGCCTTTGATTTTTGTTATATTTAAGGTTTCTTTTGTTTTACTTTGTGTTTTAACCTAAGTGCTTCACTTTTGTTCACTCACACTGATTAACACTTACATTCTCCCTTGCATATCATATCAGGAAAAGTGAAACAAGGCTAGAAACTGAGTGTGTTTGCTCCATTGTGTCATATATGAAACCAACTCTTTAACCAAGTTGGGCTGTGAGCTTAACCCAGTTTTCTGAAGGAAGCTTTAATTCTCTAAAAGAAGTCACAATAGGACAGTATTGGCAGTGTTGTATAGGTTCTAACCTCCTGTGAGTGGATCAGAATGGTGGACTGCTGAGGTATAAGGAATAGAGTTTCAGCGGTTCAAGCCATCTGCTCCTAAAGTGAGATGATGCTATTGCGAGAAGAGGTACAGTTGATTAACTGGATATTTTGAAATTAAATGTATAAATGGCATAAATCTTTAAAATAGGAGATTTCAAGTATATAATTACAGTTGTCATGTACTGCTTTAGACTAGAAATACCCCCCTACCAGGCCCATCAATAGTACTTTGTTGAAAAAATATGAGAAATAGTGTATGTGGAAAGAGTAGTTACATTTTTTATTTTTATTGTTATTTTCTTTTTATAGTACACTTCCACCATGCTATGTAGTTACACCTTTTTTAAAAAATTAATTAATTATTAAGTCAAGCTCTCTACCAGACTGGAGTGCAGTGGCACCATCATAGCTTACCACAGCCTCTACCTCCTGAGCTCAAGCAGTCCTCCCACCTCAGCCTCCCAGAATGCTGGGATTACAGGCATGAACCACTGTGCCCTGCCTAATTACACTCTTAAATAGGAAGCTCTGAATTATTGGTTCAGCCTCCATCCCCAGCTGGCTAAAACCTCAGCAGCTCTGATTTCTTGCCATCTTTAAAATGAAAGTAAATCGAACTAACTGATCTTTAAGGTCCATTCAGCTCTTAAAAATTTATGATTTTTGCTTAATTGATTCCCAGATTGGGTATTAAACTGGCAGCTAATGTTTTCAACATTTTCAGCTGATTTGTCTACGTGGTGTTTTACATTGATACATGTGGATCATTGTGAATAGATTAATCATTGTTTTCTCTTTGTATTGTTCACTTTTAAAAAATCTTTTCTACTTGTTTCTCACCATTTCTTTTTTATATTATCTTTAATACTGCCTCTACTTCCTTTCACTTTTTTCTCCTTATAATATCTGTTTTCCCATGTATCTGTTTATTTAGCATACAACTGATATGTCCCTTGTTTTATTAGTCCTTTTATATCCAGAAACCTATAATTGGTATACACGATTTCGGCTCTATTTGAAGTTTGATGTTACTATAATAAGCTGCCCATTAAAAGTCACTCCTTTATCCTGAGCTTACACTGACAGACTGGGATGTGCTCAGTACAATTAGGAGGTGTAAAGATATCAGTAACGTTTGGCCGGGCCTGGTGGTTCATGCCTTTAATCCCGACACCTTGGGAGGCGGAGGCAAGAGGATTGCCTGAGCCCAGGGGTTTGAGGCCAGCCTGGACAACTTGGCAAAACCTCGTCTCTACAATAAATCAAAAAATTAGCCAGGCGTGGTCACAGTGAGCACCTATGGTTCCACCTACTTGGAAGGCTGAAGCAAAAGAATTTCTTGAGCCCAGCAGGTCCAGGCTGCAGTGGCCATGAGCATGCCACTGCACTCTAGCCTGGGTGACAGAGCTGAGACTACGATAAAAAAAAAAAAGATACCAGTAATGTTTAAATAAAATTATTTTATTTCTTTCCTAAACAGAAGTTGTAAGAACAAGACTACGTGAAGAGGGAACAAAATATAGATCATTGTTTCAGACACTGTCTTTGATTGTTCAAGAAGAAGGTTATGGGTCTCTTTATCGTGGTCTAACAACTCATCTGGTGAGACAGATTCCAAACACAGCCATTATGATGGCCACCTATGAATTGGTGGTCTACCTACTCAATGGATAGCAGCACACAGGGCTGCCATACTACAGGAGGGAAGACCAAATGATTACAGTGGACCATAGAGTATCAAAGCCAGCATGGGGGACAGAAGAAAAATAGTTTGGGAACATGGTAACTTGCCTAAGTGGAAGTTTGGCTGTAAGAATTGAAGTAATCGTACCACATTACTTGGTTTTTAATGTGGAGAAGACCTCGGCACCTCCAAGGCAATGCCTTTAGAAGCAAGTCTTTCTCAAAATTGCCATTTTCTCTACTGTGTCTATCGGACACAGTTGTGTTTTGTTGATTTATGCAATCTTCTAAACAAAGCCATCCCTAATTATATACAAATTATTATATCCAAAGATAGTATTGGCAGTAATAAATTTCTGACTTCTAACTTTTGTTTAGTTCTTGGAAAATTGTAAAATAAAAATAATAACAGTGAGATCCAGTATTATTTTCACATTTCCCTGAAAGGACCTGGCACAGTATTTTAAATTTAATTACTTGGCAGTAGTAGTCACTGTTTTTGACAACCAACGAGATACTTTCTTAATGTCTTATATATTTTTAGCATTAAAATGTTTTGTTTTTCACTGCTAACAGTGCTTGATGTTTAGCCTCATATGGATATTTAAATTGTTAACATATCAAACATACATAGTTATGATGAGGCAAACATTGGGACAAAATAAACTAGTAAAATGTTGATTCTTGGCCGTTTCACTGACTTGAGCATGTCCTCATATCTTCTGTAATTTGATGGTACTTGAATGAATGCAATCATCTTTTCAGTGGCTTGTTACCAAATTGAGTAAATTACCACCTACTTATCATACCTAAGTATCATTACTTAAAGTATAAAAATGTATCGCTTTTGACTCTTTCTCTACTTGCTTTCATATTAAGAATTTGAACCTTTGAATTCCAGGTCTGTATAGGTTACATTTATTTTGTAGAGAAAATGGTAATTTTCAGTTTTGCCCTTACAAGTTTTTTTTTTTTTAAGGTGACATTAATATTAATATTTGAGACGTATAAAAATAGAAGAGGGGCCTCCTGCTGTCTGATTCAGCAGGTAGTGAGTGATCTTAGCTGACTTACAGTTTTGTAAATGAACAAACTGCTTTTGACAAGAAATTTATTCTGTCCTAGTTTCCTGAATGGTAAATCACAAAAAGATTCATGTTAATTTAGGTTAAATGTGCTAACAGGATACAGCTTTTAAATTCTGCTGTTGAGTCATCTGTACCTTTTAATACTTTAAATGTATTATATGTATGGCCCTTGTAAAGATGTTTGCTCTAGTTCTGTTAAAAGGCTTTGCTATTTTGGTGTGCTATGCTGGTGTATAAAACGTCTACAATGAAACTTCAGTGTGGTACTTATTTCAGTATACCTGATGTGTACATTTTGTGCAATGGCTTTATCTTAAAGAATGACTCTTTGTAAATGCACTTTGTGGCCTTTTTTGGGAGAGGGAAGGGGTGACAGTAGGAGAGAATTCCATGTTAAGATTATTTTTTTTTTAAAACATTGGTCATGTATTAGGCAGAAATAGTGCTCAGGACATTTTTCTGGGCTCTAGTTATGTTGTTTTGGAGATCTTTAATGTAAATGTTTTAAATGTTTTGTGTATCCTGTAGTGCCCCCAACATTATAGATAATTGCAGCATGTCATTGCAAGCTTTCTGTTGTCACCAGTGAAACATAGTGCCCTCTTAAATTCCCTCACCTTAACGTCCTTGTAATCAACAGTAACTGGATGTTTTTGAGGTGCTCAGTTGGAATTTAAAATATTCCAATCTATTCAGAGACCAAAGGCAAATTCAGCTTCCTTACCTTTGGAATTATTAATACCTTTAATGGTCAATTTCAACTTTTACATTTATTGTGAGGAACATACCAAAAAAAAAACCTCACTGAGCAGGTTAAACCTGTAAAGAGGGTCTCAGACTATAATGTTTGCCTTTTCGTGTGCCATTTATACTGCCTAATACAGTGCCATTTGACTTGTGAAGATCCATAAACGTTCGTTGTGTTGAATGTAGGATAGAGACTCTCCCTCATCTTACTGATTTCAGTGCCCCACAAATGATCAAGAATGATAGGAAAACCAGCAGCTAAGGAATATCTTATTATTTAGCTGTAGCAAATTTATAACAAGTGTCCTTCAAGGGTGAACGTGTATTTTATGTGTATTTAGCAAGTAAAACTTATGTTAACCTTTAGTTCATTATGTTTTTGCTTTTAAAAGTGAATATTGTGTTGTACTGGAAGGAGAAGAAATGTTAGAGCCTTAGACATGTCTATTTGTGCAACAACTGGAAGGGCGCAGCGAAGCTTATTTTAATAGATTTTTAACCCCTAAGCACAATCTGCCATAGTTTATTTTATGAATAACAAGAGTTGTTTTTTTTTAATCTTTTACAAACTCTTATGTCAAGGACTGACTTTCAGTAGATTGCAGCAGACAGAGATCATTTTTTTTAAAAACTGTACAAATATTTATAAAGTTTATCTCTGAAATATTTCTTTGAAGACTTTTTTTTTAAATTGGAGTCTTACTCTGTCACCCAGGCTGGCATACAGTGGCATGCTCACAGCCACCGCAGCCTCAACCTGCTGGGCTCAGGTGATCCTTCCACCTCAGCCTTCCAAGTAGCTGGAACCACAGGCATGTGCCACCAGGTCCAGCTAATTTTTTTATTTATTGTAGAGATGAGGTCTCACCAAGTGGCCCAGACTGGTCTCGAACCTGTGGTCTCAGGCAATCCTCTCACCTCGGCCTCCCAAAGTGCTGGGATTATAGGCATGAGCCACCACACCCAGCCTTGAAGATTTTTTAAATTCAAATGTTTAAAAAGCAAAGAATATTCAGCACTGGGCTTTTTCTAAGAAAAACTGTTGTTTTCATTTGTTGTCGCTCAGATAACTTTTTAGTTTCTGTTGTAAAGGCAGTCAACACCCTTCAGATTGGTATGTACTTTCATTATAGAAATTTCTCAGAAAATTGAGTTAACTTTACCTGTGATTCATGGAAACAGTTTCCTAAATTTCAGTCACCATCCAAATCAGAATCGCCAACCCTGTGATACCACACAGTGCTTTTAATTCTGGAGAAAAAAATTGTCACCAAAGCTTTGTCTTGATTCTCATTGTGTAACTTTATAGATCCAACCTTACTAGATGGACCCCAGTGCATTTGTAACTTTGAAATCAAGAGACAATATCATTAGATGATCTAATTCAGCCATTTGTCTCCTAAAAGCTGATACCCACTGTGGAGTAGCATTATGAGGACCAGCAGAATTTGAATTGTTAAAAATAATGAAGGTGTACTCTTTTACTGGAGTGTAAGCATTTCTGCACTTTTTAGATTTGTTTGAAGTCACTAAAAATATTGATCTCAAGTTGAAGGATTTAAGTGCTATAAATCAGTCTATTCCTTACTCTTTCAGAATTGCTCATGCCTGTCTTTTGTTGTTTACATGCTTGTGTGCTCAGACTGTTAGTATTCTAGGGACTCCGTTTGGGCTGATAAGTACAGTTCGGCCTTTTTCTCCTCTAATATTTGATCATGCCTTTAACATTCCTCAGAATACAGATATTTCTGAATGATTTAAATTGGAAGGAATTTTAATATGTAAAATGCAATGTACAAACTTTCTGCCCCCTCAGATCTCTTCTCCATCGTGTACTTACGTTTCCCTTTCATCTATATGCTAATTTTTATGCTACTCCTTTTAGAAACCGAAATTCTAGTTTCAATCAGTTTGTGTTGATCTTCTTGAATGTGTACCCCTGTGTTTGTGAACAATTATGACCCATTAGTCATAGCTAGTCAGCTTCAAAAGAGTTGTTAACCTTTGACCATTCATGTGAGGTTTGCTATTCTTGCATTTATGTATATGACTGTATATTATGTGCATTTACTCTGTATTTATGTTAACTAGCTGACTTTTACTTGAATTGTTAAAATGTTACAAATTAAAATATACTTGTGAAAATATGGTGGCTTTTTTCTGTATTATTACATCTTAGTATTTTGGCATGATGAGATTATAATAACTTTCTTAGGATTACCCTGTGTGCAGAACAAAAGTGCATTGCCATCTTAAGTTAAGTGCTAGGCTCATGGATGGATTAACTCAGCAAACCTTTTTTTTTTTCTTCTGAGCACCATTTGCTAGACCTAGTGATAAAAGGCCAGAGAATCTAACTCCTTCATAGCTTAGTAGGAAATTGTGCATATTTTCCGTAGGTTAATCCTTATCCGATGCTTTTTCATGTCTTAATTTCAGCCTTTGAGAACATTCAGAATATTAACCCTTTGTACTCGGAGATACCTCACAGATCACATACCAGCAACTCAACTGCGCTTTTTTATGAAATAGTGAAAACCAAATCACTTTGTATTAAACAGTATAGCACTGGAGCCAATTGTTTTATTGTAATGTACTTGGTTTATGACGGAATTTTGGACATTGAGGAACTTATTTATGACAAAAATCAAACTTTTATTTCTTATTTTTTCTAACGTGGTAACGTGAACCAGCATACATTGCAGGTTCATGGATACATGTGCAATAGTGGTTTGATGTCTTCCACTTTGTGTTTTTCTGTTTGAGCAGACAATGCAGTTTCGGTTTTTTCCTCCCTCATTAATATGTAATTTGTTGTCCAGTGTGCACCACTTTGAAAGCACTTTTTACACATACTCTTTCTACATAATGCCAGCTGATTTTTTAATACATATTATCTCAATATATATTTCATCTCTTCATCTACTTTTTTGTGCAACTTGGAAAACTTCAAGGAAACGTACATTTTTAAAAAATTTGCACTGGCATGTTTGTCCTATATGATCACCAGCAACCTCGGTGATTTGCTGTATTTACGATGTCCCCTGAAGGCGACATGTGAGTACAAACACAGAGCTGACAGCTTGTTAGAATAACCAAATCTATATGTGAGGTTGAAATGCAGGTGACACCGATTAAAGTGTTAGGTAGTGCCCGCCCTCTTTACATTTTGTCTGTTTTGTTCTTTCCATTTCCTGCATTGTAGTTAACATCCAACATTGCCCAGTCTTGTAGGTGAGGAAACCAGGAAAAAATTGTTAACATAAAACTGAAATTGTTCTACTAGTAGTATTTGCATTGAAGACACTGGCTGACTAACGGTTGAAGTGTCACTAA